CAAAGTCTCCAGTTCAGAGTTTCATCTAAATCAGATATAGGTGAGACTGAAAGTATGATTCATTCTGAGGCACAATGTTCTCTAGCTGTGAAACAAACATGTTCTGTGCTTCCAAAATACAACGGTGGGACGGGCACAGGGTAGACATTTCCATTTTAAAAGGGAGAAATAGGAAAGAAGAAAACAGTGACTGGTCCCAAGTAAGTCTGAAACCCAACAGAGGAAACAACATGGAATCTTACGGCTTGAGAACAATCATTGGCTCAGTGTTCTGCCCTCCAGGCCCACTAAGGTGATAGTGCCACCTTCAGGACACAATGTGGTAGCAGTCCTGCCCCTGAGGCAGCCATGTGCTTGTGCCTTGCTCCTACCTCCACAGTAGCTCTGTGCCTGGGTCACGCATCTGAGGCTCCCCTGGAAACTCCCACTGGTGGCCCTACTGGTCTCTGGACTCATGGGCCTAGTGGGGGCCCTCTATAGTGACCCTTCCCCTGCAGTGATTCTCTGCCTCGGCCCCATAGCTCTCTTGGGGCATCCTTTTAATTCTGGGGGAAGAGAGCCATGCCCCCACATCTTTGCACTCAGGGCCCGTGATGGGATGGGTAGCTCTGATGATCTCAGAAATGTCTTTGGGGTCATTCTTCCATTGCCTTGGAAATTAGGTCCTTGCTTCTGTTTATAGATGGCAGACCAATCTTTCTCTTAACACCTGGCTTTCACTGAGATGGTCAATCCATACTAATCCCCTCATCAAAGAGTTACTTGGCCAGACCCTTTCCTCTTGAACAAGGTTTTTCATTTTTTCCAATATGGATAGGCTGAGTTTTCCAAATTTTTGAGTTCTGCTTCCCTTCTGATCAGCAATTCTAAATTATCTTTCTTCTCTCATTTTACTATAAACAATTAAAAGGAACCAGGCTGCCTCTTCAACAGTTTGCTCAGAAATAGCTCCAGCTAAAGATCTAAGCTTGCAGTGAGCCGAGATCGTGCCACTGCACTCCAGCCTGGGTGGCAGAGCGAGGTTCCATCTAAAAACAAAAACAGAAAACAAAAAAAAATAGCTCCAGCTAAAGATCTAATCACTCACAGGGCTACCTGCCGCAAAACACTAGAACACAAACACAATTCAGCCAAGTTCTTTGCCACTTCAGAACAAAGATGGCCCTTCTTACAGTCTCCAGTAATAGGTTCTTCACTCCACAGAGTCCTCTGTATCTGAGTCTTCTCAACTTTGGGTACAGTGGTTTGGCCTGTGAGCTCACTTCTCTGATGGATCTTTAACAAGTTATTTTTCCTGTTTAGCTTTTCCCTTGTTAGGATGGAGTAATGAATTCTAAGCACCTTACATACCAGGCCAGAAACTGAAATTCCTGTTGGAAGATTTTTGATTACTGAGTCAGTCTTTTGTTATATGCCTATTATTTATTTCCTTTAGAGTCAGTTTTGGGAGTCTGTGTCATTCTAGTGATTTGGCATTTCATCGTGTGCCTATGTTTTTTAGCATTGTTATGTTTTCTCATAATCCTTTTTCTTTCTGTAAGGTCATTATTAATGTCCCCACTGTCATTCTTGATTGAGTAATTTGATCATCTGTTTTTCTTCAACAGTCTAGATAAAGGTTTGCCACTGGCTGTTTTATCTTTTTAAGGAAACAACTTTTGGGTTGGTTTTCTCTCCAGGTTTTCTATTTCATTTATATCCACACTCTAATCTTTACTAGTTCCTCCCCTCTACTTGCTTTGGGTTTAGATGATCCCATATTATTGCTATGTAATTGTTCATTATATTCTTGTACTCCTTAATATTTCTGTAAAATCAGTAATGTCACAATTTCATTTTTTATTTTAGTAACTTTTTTTCTTGTTCTACCTAAAGGTCTGTCAGTTTTGTTTATAACAACTTGTGGTTTTGTTGATTTTTGCCATTTGCCCCCATTCCCTATTTCATTTATTGGTGGTGTAATCTTTACTATTTCCTTCTTACTGCCTGCTTTGGGCTGTTTCTCTTTTTCTAGTTTTTTAAGGTTGGGAGGTTAGGTTATTGATTTCAGATCTCTCTACCTTCTGTATGGTATCTTCTTTGACTCACTGTTTATTAGGAAGTATGTTGTTTTATTTCCACATATTTATGACTTTTCCAAATTTCATTGTTATTTCTAACTTTATTCCACTGTCACTGGAGAATATAACTAGTATAATTCCAATCTTCTTACATTTGAGACTTGTCCCTTAAAATGGGTTCTAGACTGGAGAACGTTACATATGCATTTAATATGTATTCTGTTTGGAGTGTTCTATAGATGTCTGCTAGGTCTAGCTGTCTTATAGTCCTGTTCAAGTATTCCATTTCTTTTCTGATCTTGTCTTGTTTTTCTAGCCATTATTAAAAGTGGGGTATTGAAACTCCCACCCACTATTGTTGAACTATTTCTACCTTTAATTTGGCCAACTTTTGCTTCATATATTTTGGGGTTCCTGTTTGGTGCATGTATGTTTATGGTTGTTGTATCTTCCTGGTGAATTGACTCTTATCATTACATGATGTCCTCCTTTGCCTTGCATAATAATTTTTGCCTTAAAGTCAATTTGGTCCAACATTAGCATAGCGGCCACCTCTACTCTTCTTTGGTTACTATTGTATGGGGTATCTTTTTCCATCCTTTTACTCTTCTTTGTGTCTTTGAATCTAAAATGAGACACCTCTAAACGCACAGTTGGATCATGGTGTGCTAAATCAATGCAGTTTTTTGTTAAGAAAATCTATCAAAGCTCCATGTGTCTATTGTATGCTTCCATTTACAAGTACAGAGATAGGTAAAAGTGACCTGCGTTGTCAGAGTCAAGGAGTTAGCCCTGGGAGGAGTGGGTGCAGAAAACATCAGGACTTCTGGGGGATATCCTCACTTGCCTTTCCTCTGAGTGCTGGCTACACAGTGGGACAGTATTCAGTTTGCAAAAATCCAGTCAGCCAGTGGACACTTTTATTTGCACTTTAATGTATGTGTGCTATACTTCACAAAAACTTTGAAGAAGCAAACCTGATGTGGGATGTCTGTTCTCCTGGGAGGCTTTGTGGGAAGAAGGCAGCCCAGTGACTCACCAGGACTGGTGATAATTTGTGCTGCTGAAGGATAAATACTTCCTAAAAAGCATATGAGGATAGGGGTATACTAGTTACACAGCTGTGTTCGCTGTGTGCAAATTCGTTCTGTATATTAGGATGTGCACACTTTCCTGGATGCAAATTACACTCTGTTAGTAATTTGACTTAAAATTATCTTCCCCACAGGACAAAGACCTAGATCCATGGCCTGTGTCCAAAGCACTGGTGATGATGATGACAGTAAGAACCATATTAGCACCAATCATCAATTGAGTACCTGCTGCCTGCTGGTACCAAGGGCTTGATGAAGCTTCACAACCACCTATACAAGAGGCACTATTTTGTCCCCACCTAACAGATAGGGAAGTTGACGCTCAGAGAGCTAAGGCAGCCAGTTACCAAATGGTGGTGATTCAATCATCAGTCCAGCTCTCAAGTCCATGCTGTTGTTCCCAGCTCTAGTAATCTGCCGGGAAGTAGGGGTGAAAACACTGCAGGGAGATGGAAGATGCAGAGGAAATGGAGACCACCCTCTCCCAGAGGCAAGGCTGAGCAGAAGGCCTTTCAGCATGGACTGTCCCCCTCTGCAAACTCCTGAGACCCCACCCGCTCGAGAGGCTGCTGTTCCATCCTGGAAACTGAAGACTGTGTTCAAGGACCCAGAAGATGAGGATGGGGGAGGGCAGACTCAGTGTCTGGATGCCTGTGCCAATCAAATACACCACCAGGCAGAAGCGAGCTAGGGCCACACTGGGCCACGCACAAGTGTGGGAGTGGAAGGCACAGACACTGCCCCTGGAAAGGAGCCTGCCCCACAGGGCCCTGATACCTTAGACCTCCCTTCTCCTTGAGGGTCTTCTAGATCAGTCGAGGGCTTTCTTTTCAACCTTTTCCAGGAGTTGGACAACTGCCTCTTTTACTCCATCAGAAAGAATGGTTTAAACAGAAAACAAGTCCCAACAGCTGCTACTAAAGCAGAAGAGTATCATCAAGGGCTGGAGGTTCCACAGTGACAGTGAAGCGAGGAAGGGTGGTACGGCAGTGAGACTTCAGTCAGATGGTGGGGTCCTGGGGAAGTGGCATGGCAGCGAGACTCTAGCCTGCGATGGCTTTCCAGAGGGAAGCCACACATGAGTGAAGCCACATAGGCCTGAGTGAGGCAGTCGAGTGAGAAGGTGGCAGGAGTGTGCCCTGGTATTTACTGTCCCCTTGACTAGACACTGTCCCCTTTTCATACCCAAAAGCAATCACATGAACATGCCCACTGTATGTGTGTATATATTCCTACAGACAAATGTGATTCCTAGGTTCAGAGAGTGAGAGTTTAGACAGCAAAGGATTCTACGTCATCTGAATCCCTGCCTCCTCATCAGGATGGCGCAGGCTACTCCTTGTTTCAGTCTATGTATACACGATGTGTTCTCACCACCACGCTGCTGTGGCTTCAAACCTGATGCTGCACCTCAGAAGACCCTTGAGGAGGACAGAGGCATAAGGCGTCAGGGCGCTGGGGGCAGGCCTCTGTCCAGGGGGCACTGTCTGTGCCCTCCACTCCCACAAATGTCGCATGGCCCAGTGTGGCCTGGCTCACTTCTGCCTGGTGGTGTATTTGATTGGCACAGGCACCCAGACACCAACTCTACCCTTTCCCTACCCTCATCTTCTGGGTCCTTGAACACATTCCTGCTTCAGGGATGGAGTGACAGCCTCCCCACATATACGTGACCCCTCCCCCCTCTCCTGAAGGTGGACCCCAGGCTGCTTCCAGCTCCCACTACCAGGGTTACCTGCGAGGCTGGCTTTATTGCTGTTGTTGTCTGAGGCAGTGGAATTACTGTGCCTTGCTTAAACCACAGTCATCTGGAGCACGGAGTCAGAACAACCACAGAGAACAAACATGTGCTTTGTCTTTTTATTATTCTTTATTGGTCCTACCAATGTGACTCTTTACCCAGGCCCACTGTTCCTATGCGCACTGGCTTTGTAGGCATTCACATCACATGTCTGTGTCCTGAAAATCTCAATTAATTTCTCCTTCCTATTCCTTTTCCATGCTCTGCCTCATTTTCTCAGAAATTGAAGGCATTTAATTATTACTATTTTTTTGTTTGGGTCTGTGTAAAGGTTCCTTGGCAGGAGAACATGCATATGACTTTAAAATAAAGACCAACATTCTGACACTAAGGTAATGCACAGAAAAAATACAGTACTCAGACATCGTTGCAAATAAATACCCCATACAGATGAAGTTATCTCAAATGTAACAATATTTCTTATGAATCAACACTGTAACGGAAGGTAAAAATAGGAGTCCCTACAACTAGGAATAAGAAATGCTTATTCCAGGAAACAGAATTCTTTTATTTTTGTCATTTATATTATTATAATTTTTCCTTTTTTGGAGAAGGAAGGACAGTTTTTCTTCCTCCAAGAGTACCAATTTGACCACTCCCACGAACCTCACTCAGCAAACAAAACAGGATGTAGACCTGGTTTACTAAGGAGTTTTAATGAGTTCTGTTTCCTGAAATTAACAGTGATTAGTTACACCAAGCAAGAGAAGATATAATGTCTCGCTTTCACATTTGCAAAGAATACTATGGCTAACCCTCGTCCCCTACTGCGCATGCCAACAGAGCGTCGGCCCTCCTGACACCCTCAGCTCTTCACAAACGTGGCGTTCATACAGCTTGCTCAGCTTGTCCCAGAAGGTCCATTTGGTTCCCAAAGCACACTCAAGGTTTTGTGTTTGCTTTCATTTTCTAAGCCCCTGAATTTGCAAGTAAAGAATCACTGACTAACAGAATTTTGCACAATGACTGTTTTCTTTCCCTCAATGAAGATGCCCAGGTCCGGGTGTGAGGAGCGCCTGCCTCACCTGCTGTCCACGCTGGCCTTCGGCATGCCCACTAGCTCTTCCCTGCTCGCTTTCAAGAATGATCTACGCTGGGACACCTCCCTTAACTGATGAAGGCACTACTGGCAATGATTACTAACAAAAAGGTGTTGAAAGAGAACACCCTAAAAATCGACGACTGTAGAATTTTCTAAGTGTACCACAATTTGGCACAACAACCAGAGTAACAAAACAATTCCAATTTGGAATTTTATTGGTACAGTTGTATAAAATTCTGTTAATCAGTCATGCTTCACAATGTCCTAAAACCCAGAAAATTCTGGAATTTGTAGGTAATACTACTCATTCAATAATTTATCTTTTTTTTTTCAAGTGCCTATTACTGTTTTAACCAGAGCAAAGGTCAAGTTTTCTTCTTGTTACATTGAACTATTCCTAAGAATAATAATAATACAATATGAAAAACCCCAGAATCTGAATACCCTGGATTTCTTAATGAACATGGCATTTAAAATCTGTAATTTCAAACATGAACCACAATGCCGTATGATCTAAAGGCTGCTGAACCACAGCGTGGATACACGTAGCCGGGCTCCTTGCTGGGTCAAAGCACTCATCTCCGAGTCTAAAGCTACACGCTACGGAGCACACAGCTCTGCCTCGTGCTGACACCAGACAAACACGGTGGGAGCTGAGGCGGACAGCTACAGGACCACGAGCATAGACCACGGCACCTGAGACCGTCTCTATGCGAGGAATTAAGGAAGCAAATATAATATCAAAATATCAAAAGTGCACAGGTTGATCGGATAAAAAAAGAACATGTGTAACAAGGAGCCCCGTGGTGGGCGTTTCCAGCGGGCTCCTGGCGAGCCTGGCAGCCAGGGAAGAAGGGTCTTCGGCCCATACAGAGGCCTTTCCACGCAGCAGCTCGCAGCATGCTCAACATTAAAGCTTTTTTTCCTCCCATTAAAAACTTGGGGAATGCTATTTTGAAAAGAATTGCAGTGGTATATCCAAAAAGTTTCTAAGTGGGCTTTTAGGTTGCCCTTCCTTCCTCCTTGTGGGCCACGAGAGGGAAGGGGAGGGGGCTGCAGTGTGACAGGGCCGGGTGGCCAAGTCCTCCTGGCAGCTACTCTACAGCTGAAAACGGGAGAAAAGAGAGCGTTAGAAAGCGGTCATCAGTCGCTTCCTGTTTATCTGACAACTGAAGCTCTCCACGTGCTGGGAGGGTGCGAGCACGTTAGTTGGCAGAAGAGAAGACCTGCATGTGTTAGGGGGAGCCCAGTGGCTTGAGTGTCTGCAAAGCCCCTTAGGAGTATGGAGAGAAGCTGTGTGCCAGGCTTGCAAGGAGAGGGCAAAGCACGTGCAGGGTGAGCATGCCAGCAGTCATCCCACTGCGAGTCTTGCTGGGGCAGGGGGATCTGGGCCCAGGATGAACACGCAGGGAACATAACATGGGCCTGTCCTGGAGTCTGGAGAGGACCGAGACATACTCGGCACCAAAGGGAAGAGCACGCAGGGTAGACAGCTGTGGGAGGGGGCAACACGGTCTCTCACCAGGTAACTCGAATGCCTCTTCCGCATGAGAGACAAGGCAAGCAGCCTGCAGGGGAGAAGACTGCAGCCTCAGGTCCAGCTGGTTCCACGGGGTGATCGGGAGAAAAATACTGAGAAAAGTTCTGCTCAGAATGTGGGAAGGCAGGCGGCCTGATGCCAAAGCTCTGGTGTGGATGGAGCCTCTGGAAATGGGAGAGCCCTACAGCTACCTTTCCTCTTTCTCTGTTGCCATTCCCCAAATTGCACTAAATAAAGAGACCTAAACATCTCCTACCTGTGAATCCTGACAATTGGCCCTGGCCCCATGCAAAGCTTTCCCAGCACCAGGCTAGGCTCTGGCTACAACTGTGGGTGTCCAACCCAGCCAAGCCCCTGGTGGCTCAGACTTCAGACTAGGGTTTTCAAAGCCCCATGTCTTTGGGACTGAACCCCCTAAGGACAGCCAGATAATTGGCTGCTGAGGTCACCCCAAGTACAAAAGGACAGGCTCTGCACTAAGGACCAAGGTCTGGCCAGGCACTTGGACAGCTTTTCTCATGAAAAATGAAAACCTGGGGCCTTGGGCCCTGCCCATTTGTCACCTCACAGGCCACTAGACAAGCATCCTGATCTCAGAAATGTAAAACCGAGCTCTGGATTCCTGGGTTATGGTCAGCTGTGTCTCTGCCATGTGTGTCTGGCCAGCAGAATACAGGGGCTCAGGGCTGCTCTTCTCTGGGCTTGGGGAAGAAATTCTGCACTTCTGTCCTGAATATGATTTGCAGTGAGATAGTGCATAAACTACAACATAATCCTTTCCATGAAACTATGCCAAGTGCAGAGCCGTCCTCTGAAGCAGTACCTATACTGCAAGCTGGAACCTCCTAAAACTGCTTTCTAGCGCTGACATTAGACACATGCGAGGAACATGCAAGTTTCAACTCAGGTTCTGCCCCATTTGGGTGCTGAGGGAGCAGGACCAGGACTCCTTCCCTTGGGTTTCCCCAAGGGTGCCCAGGGCTTAGAAGATGCTGTCATCACACATCTGCTGCAAGAATGTGCAGCTCTATCCCCACCTCTGACCCCCACCTACGAGAGCAGCTGAGGACTGGGTGCTCCTGAGGGGGCTTTGAGGAGTGAGAAGCGACACAAAGCTCTCACAAGTGTCCTGCTGATGCACACGCCCCATGGCGCCTCGGCTAGAATCCTACCCTCTGTGCATTAGTCACGTTAAGATTGACCTAGCGCCGCTGTCCCGCTGCTGCTGGGTTAGTTGAGGTGAAGCAGATGTTAGCTGCAGCGTGCGGCGCCCCACAGCCCCTAATCACAGTAAATGCTGTGCTTCTCGCTGCAGAACACCTGGTTGGCCAGCCCGGTGCCCTCGGCCCTGTCGCTGGCACAGGCGCAGGCATGACTTACGCTCGGGGTGGCTGGCTTGGCCTTCGGGGCAGCTTTGGTGCGGCCACGCCGGGTCTGCTCATGGTCCAGCTCGAGCAGCTCCAGCCGCTGGGTCAGTGCCAGCTTCTGCTGGATGGCCATGCGCAGCAGCGAGTTCAGCGTCTTCTTCTCGTCCTCGGCGGCCGCCAGCTGCCGCTGCATCTCATCCAGCTGTGTGATGTACTCGTCACACCTGTGGGTACCAAAAACATGACTGAGGAGTGAGCAGAGCCGAGCAGAGGAGAGCAGGGCGGGGCAGGGCTAGGCTGTGCAGCCCTTTGAGAGGCCTGCACCAGAGCCATCCTTCGGTGTGGCCTCTGGACTGGAGGGTGGGGGTGGGGGAGAATTATTCTGGCTTATTTTAGCACAGGCTTTGCTCGGACAAATCCCTGATAAGGGTGAGAGGGAGGCTTGGGCCCAGGCAGGGCAGCCCTATGAGGCTGGCTTGAGCTTTGTGGTTTTGTAGGGGAGGGGCTGCTGTGCTCATTCAGCAGCATGTAGTGCTTACAGAGAGGCTATGCCCCTCAGTGACTGGGCTGCTTCTAGGAGGTGCGCTCCCCACTTAAAAGGCCTCGAGGTGGCCTGGGGCATCAAGACATGGAGACGCCATGGCTTCTAGGGTGTGGACGTAAACCTAAGCAGGACTGGGCTTGTTCCCAAGGTCGATGCTTCGTCAGTCTGTGCTGAGCACTGACCGGAGCCAAGGAACCATGTGTGTGGATGCCATCGATAGCTTCATCCCAAAACCCGGTGCGGAGCTGTGGGAGGGTGTGATGTGTCCCTGGATGCCCTTCCTCCACATGTCCCATATGGGTGGGGCTTGGTAGAGACACAGGGCGGGTTAAACCCCGGGGCTCCCAGGGTGGTAAGGCTGTGCAGGCACTGAGCGCAGCCCCACCCTGCCCACACGCACCCCACCCTGCCTGTCCCCACCTGCCAGGAACTGGCCCTTGGATAGCACCCTCTCCAAGGACTCTGCTGCCCACCCTTTTGAGGACACACACTGAGCTGTGATCCTTGCAGGTTCAAAATCTTGGCTCCATCTGAAAAGTTAACTTTTAAAATAAAACAAATTTTAAAAGGTAGGATTTACATGCCAGATGCTGAGAAACTGTGGAATTTTTTCCCAAGTTCTTTCCCAGAAAGACAAGACGCTTCCAGAGAAACCCTGGGCCTCTTCCTAGTCCATACCCCGCCCTGGCAGGGCCTGCAGGGATACCGAGAAACTGGGAGTGCCTGGCACCAGGCTTGAGAGAAGCAGGCCCTATGTGCAGTTCCCACCCTGTCCAGCTCAGATCCTCAGCTTGCTCACCCACAAAAAGGAAACATCTAGGTTATCTGCTGCGCCCATGGTGGGCCTGGCTGTCCCCCATGCAGGGCTGGCCCCATGGTGCTATCCCAATATGACCCAGCAGGTGGCACTACCCATCTCTGGAAGATGAAAGACAGATGGGGGCACCTGTCAGGGAGCACCTGGGAAGATGCTGGAACCAGGACCTGCCCCACAGAGGCCCATGAACACCTAGGGAGCCTCGATTCCCAGCCTTGGGGTCTGACTCCCAGCCAGGGAGGGGTGTGCACCCACCAGGGGCAGCCCACCCAGAGTCCACTACTAAGAGACCCACCACAGAGGAGGAAGGAAAGCTGGTCTCCTCCAAGCCCCAAGGCCCTCTCCTCACCTTCCCCAGACTGGCAAAGTGGGGGATGGGAGGTGACTACCCAGTGGTCACAATGACGAAGAGGTACAGGGCTATGCACACAGGTGGGACCCGAACTGTGGACCCCAGCAGTGACCTGCTCCAGCCAGGAGGGTAATCCTCCTTCTGATTCTACAAACATAAATGCATACTTGTGCCATATGGCCAAGTTCTTGGGGGCGAATACCTCATGAGAGAAAAGGCCAGGACTCCTGTGTCACCTGTTGGCCCCAAGTCAGTCCCTGGAAATGTTGGATCCAAGGGGTGGGAGCCCAAGCACCCCCTGGAGCTCTGCAACTCTGGCCCATCCACTCCAGAATCTGCTCTCCTCAGCCCCTCTGCCCTCAGTCTCCATATATGCAAAGCAGAGGCAAGCCTGGGCCTGCTGTGCTTTCAATCACAGCAAAATCGAATCAGCGCCACAGAACCAGGCTCCTGGGGGCTGCGCTAGGTGCGAAAGGAACAGAAAAAGGATCACACACGCTCTGCTATCCCCGGCCACATGTGGTCACCTGCCAGGCATGCGCTACGCTCCAGCACCTGCTTGCGTGACCTCGGAGGAAACTGAGGTGACCTCGGAGGAAACCAACCCCATGTGGCCCCCATATCGCCTCACCCTTTCTTGTCACCAACTTGAGCACCAGTATGCCAGAGATGTGCCAGGGGCCATGCTTCCCCAACCTTGTACCATGTTGGCCCCAGTGGAGCTGGGCACAGCCACTGACTAGGCAGGGCTGCAGGCCTCAGTATAAGGCAGTGAGAGGCTAAGGGTTTCAGAGGCAAGTGCTGAGGACAGCTGGCCTCAGGGAAGGGGGGAGGGCCCGACAGCAGCACGGTTACCTGGTGGCAAACATGGCACGCAGCGAGGAGAAGGTGGCTGCGTCCTCCTTGAGGGCCTTGAGCTCATTGCGCAGCTTCATCATGGTCTCGGTAACCATGGCCTTCTCATTCTCATACTTGCTCTTCAGGTTGGCAAGGGCCACCTCGGCTGTCTGGGGTACAGATGTGTAGGGTAGAAAAGTGAGAGGCGTGAAGTCAGCCTAGAGGTGCTCTGGGAGTAGGAAGGGGAGCCCTGGTCTGAAGTGGTGGCGGTGCCTGGGAAGAGAGCTCCTGGGAGGCCCCTCCCTCTGACAAACCCTGGGGATGGACTCCAGCAGCTACGCCATGGGGAGTCCCACCTGCTGATTCTGACTGGCAGAGGAGGGACTGCCCCCAAACCTGCCTACAGGACCCCCACGAAGCCCCACAATCACTCTCCACAGCTCAGACTACGGCTCTCACACATTTTCCCGCCAGCATCAGGAAGCACTATGAGGCAGTCACAGTGAGTGAATGGCAGCGGCATTTCTCACTGGCTGAGCGGCTCTGCTGAGGGGCCCTCAGGCCCACCTGCCCGCTCCACCCTCCCAGCTGGGGGCCCTGAGCAGGGGAGAGCAGGCGGTCAAGCTACTGTGGGCTGGCTTTGCCTGGTGGTGACGCAGGCCTGGGGGGCCCCATGGCAGGGGTAGGAAGGAGGCCAAGGGGAAACACCCTGAGGCCAGCAGTGGGTGACAAGTGGCCCTGCCGCCTGGCGTCTCACCTGCTTGTTGGCCTTGAGCACAGTGCGCAGCGTGGTGATCTGCTCCCGCTTGGTGCTGAGCAGCGACTTCAGCTTGAGGATCTCCTCCATGAGCGCCTCCTTGTCCTTGTCCACGGCAGGGCCCAGCTCCTGAGAAGCAATGCGCTGGCGTGACAGCTCCGTGGTGCGGTCCACGGCTGCCTGCAGGTGCTTGATCTGGTCGCGGATGATAGCAATCAGGTTGTAGATGTTCATGGGCTCCCGGCGTGGGTCACTCAGGGGTGACGGCAGTGAGGAGCCAGGTGAGGGGCTGCTGTCCCCGCTCCCGCCATCGGCTCGGCCGGCCTCAGGAGCCAGCAGCCCCTTGGGTAGGAGGATGGGTGAGCGGCGGCCACGCCCCTCAGGGCTGGTGCGGCCCCCGGGGCTGGTGCGGCCGGCCCCGCCCTGGCCCTCGCGGTAGTAGTCCAGCATGACACGGTTGGGCGTCTCATTGTTGCACATGCACACATGGTGGTAGAGATTGGCCAGCTCCTCACTGAAGGTCACCAGCTCATCCTGGGCCACACTCAGGCTGCCCTGCGTCTCACCAGCGACGTCGCTCACCTTCTTCAGCTCCTTCTCCAGCCGGGCCAGTAGCTCGCGGTCCTGGCGGCTGGCCTTCTCCAGCAGGGAGACCTTCTCCATGAGCGCCTGGCCCTCAGCCTCGTAGCGGCCCTTCTCCTCGGCGTGCTGGGCCTCACGAGCCTCGTGCGTGCTGCGCAGCGCCTTGAGCTGCTCACGGAGCTCGCCAGCCTCAGCCACGGCCACGTGGTACTTGCAGGCCAAGATCTCGGGCCCGTTGATGTCCACCTCGTAGTAGTCGCCGTCCTCATGGCTGTCACGGTCCTTCTCATTGTCCAGGGCCGTCTGCCGCTCCTTGCCGGCCTGCAGGCGCCGCAGGGCACTCAGATTCTCTGTGAGGCGGGTCACCTTCTCCTGCTGTTCTGACAGGGATCCCCGCGTGTGCTCCAGCTGCTTCTGTGTGTCCTGCAGCGTCGCCAGCAGGCCCGCCTTTTCCCGCTCCATCTGCAAAGGCACAGGCAGCAGGACACCATGTCAGTTGCTATGGACTCCGAGAGCTTGGAGGACCCCCAGGATGGCCCAATGACATCCCACCCCACGTCAGGGCAGGCTGTGAGCCCCAGGTTCCTTGGTCATGCTGTCAGTGAGGTGGACAGAGACACACAGGGTGTGGAAAGGATGGAACTCATGCTGGGCCCTCAGAACACTGCCCGTCACCAGTAATGGTGGTCACCCTCAACGCAGGCTCTTTCCCCACTCATGCTACAAGGGATCTGGGCTCAGAAAGTGGAGCTCTAGGCTGGCTGGGTGTGTAGTCGGGAATATTAGTGCCCTAGCCCTCTGCTTCAGAGGACGGGACTCTGTTGCCTTGATCAACAGGGTCCACGTCCCAGGAGATGAGCCCATGTGTGACCCTGGTGGGCCCCTCTGACACCTGGCCTGCGTGCAGGGACCACATGTGGGGCCAGTGTCTCATCACTTCACCCTGACACCATGTAGGTAACAGGGGAGCAATGTGGGTGCTGTAGTGCCAGGAAACCACTTCTCTGGGACTCTTCTATGTGTGCTCCTGGAGTTCCATTTATGGTCATGAAGCAGGAGATAAAATCAATGTAAGGAAAAGGGAAAGTTAACATCAGCAGAGTCAGGTAGGCACTGCTCAGTGCGCCCTGCAGAGCTGGAGTGGGCACAGTGTGCCGAAGGCCCCGCTGCCTGCTCACCTGCATAAGCTGCTGCTTCAGCTTCTGGATCTCGGAGATGTTGAGCTCACTGAGTAGGTCGGAGACGAGACTAGGGGAGGGCGGTGCAAGGCCCTCCTTCTTGGGCGTGGAGGTCTTGTTGTCCAGTGGTAGCTTGGCCAGGCCGCCGTGCTCAAAGCCATTGACCAGAGCCTCGGCATCGTTGTTGGGCTCAGCAGCATCGTCACTGAACTTGAGGCCATCCAGTGAGACATGCAGGTGGCTGGTGTAGAAGGAATCATTGATGCTCATGTAGTGTGACAGCTCCTTGCGCAGGCTGTTCTTCTGCTCACGCTCCGTCTTCAGCGTCTCCAGTGCCTCCTCCAGCTGCCGCTCTGAGATCTCCTTGAGGCGGATGGCATCCTCCAGCTGGCTGTTGAGGTACTCGGTCTCCTCCTCCAGACGCTTGATCTCATGCTTGAGGCCCTCAAACTCCACCTGGGAAAAGAAGTCAACGCTCTTGCGTCAAGGCAACATGGAAGCTCCTTTTAGGCCCCATAAATGAAGAAAACACACCAGCACACCAACTCCAGCCACCCATGAAGTACAAGGTGAAACGCCAGGTGAAGTGCCATCCTGGGAAGGGAGGGAGCCTGTCCAGGCCAAGACTACTTCCCCTGCTCAGAGATGTGGATGCTAAGAAGGTTCCAGGGCATGAGATGCGAATGCAACAAAAGCCTCAGCCCAACCCACCGACCTTGGGATCAGCAGACATTGGGAAGGGAACACAAATGTCTGAGGTGGCCCCAAGCCAGGACTGTACATGTGGAGATGCACCAAGAACAACACACATCCACCCATAGAAGGCTGCCAACCTTGTATTAAGCCATTCACAAATATTACCAAGTGCATGCTGATTTAAAATTTTATAAAGTTATTTCATTAACATTAACAGTTAACTAAATATCTTAAGATACATAAAAATGCATTTCAATGTGTGCTGTGATCATGACTTCTGATCATATTTCAAAATGAAGGAACAGAAACGCCCCCCAAGGCAGAACATCTCAGCTACTAAACCTCCACACGCACATGACACCCAGACCTGGAGGAGCTCGAAGGTAGGTGGGAAAAGCAACATCAAAGTCTTGTCTCCATGAAAATCGTATTTGCAGGTGGACAAGGCAAAAGTAGATAGAAAATGATGCCTGATGTGGAGGTTCAGAATTTGTGGGCAATTTCTAAAACGATTTCTTATTTTTCTGTAATATTTGGGCAAAAAAAATCAGAAACAAACCAGTAACAGGAAGTGCTGAGCACATCTCTGCGGTCTTGGGTCGGAAGGGACACCTACTACCACATCCAAGGTGTGCTCACAGGAGGTGGGTGGAGCCCTCGGTCTCAGCACACAAATGGGGAGGTGAGGAATCCCAGACAGGGAGAGAGTCAGACTCCACTGAGCGCCAACCCGAGGACAGGGTCGCCTCAAGCCTCAGTTTCGCTTCTCCTAAGGCCACTGTGCGCTGGGCTCTGTCAACAGCAGCACCAACGACCAAATGGTACTTACAATGTAGACAGCGGCTAAGACTGTTCATGTGCACAAGCTGTCACAGAGGGACCGGGCTAGGAGCTCTGCACAAACACATGAGCTTCCTCCTCCGGGCACAAATACCACATTCCCTGATGGCGAGACTCAGAGGATTTCGGTGGTAGAGGATTTGAGGAAAGCCAGGAAGACATCCATGGCGTTCTGGGGGAAGTTTTGGGGTTTCCTGAGAGAAAGACTCCCATTCCCCACCATGCAGGACTGTGGCTCTTGGAGACAGAAGAGCAAGTTCAGGCCTTGAGTGGCAGCAGAACAGCAGAGCACGTGATAATTTAGTCACATCACAGAAAGGGACCCTCCTCATTCATCTCTGTCACAGGCAGAGACCCTGCTCATCCCTGTCAGAGAGGGGTCCCTCTGAGACCTCATAAGAGACAGAGGGGTGTCTGTTCATCCCCATCAGAGAGAGGACCTTCCTCGTCCCCGTCACAGGCAGAGACACAGGAATACTGCAGGCCTCATGGTCAGCACGCGATGGGGAGAGAGTCTCAAAGTCCAGTCTGGGGTTTTCTGGTGTAGCCTCTTCATCACCTCTCAGATTTTTGTTTTCATTTTTGTTGGCTGGGACACCTCAGCCTGGTCAACGTCAGCAAACACTGCAGCCAGAGTTTCATCTTTTGGAGGGTCTGGGTCCCACCAAGTGTACCCTCTGCCTCCACAGTGGGAAAGCTGGCCCTGGGACTCAGGTGTGCGGAATGAGACAGGAACCCTTCGCAACAGGGAGAGGCCTCGAGGCCCAGTTAACCCACGTGCCACCTCCACCCCACAGGCCCAAGACTCGCCTGGTTCTGTCTGAGCACAGACACTTGCTTCTGCAGGCTGATGTTCTCCTCCTCCAGCTCTGAGTAGTCCTGCAGCAGGCGAGCTTCCCGGAATTTGTACTCCTTGATGTCATCCCGCAGGCGGCCACGCTGGATCTCCACATTCTGGTTGATCTGTTGAGGGAGAGGGAAAGGCAGGTGTGAGCAGCCTCCACAGGGCACGAGAGGGGCTCAGAACAGGCAGGCACGCCATGGCTAGCCACACAGCCAGAACTCAAGAGCCCAGGCTTGCAGGTGCTAGTGTGACTGCCTGGAAAGGAGAAGGAGCCCAGAGCAGTGTGCCAGAGTGCACGGCGGACTACAAAGTTTCCAGAGTAAATCCCCTCAGCCCTTCTCGGCTGGGAACCGCTGACAAGTGACTACCTGCTCCAACCCTTGGCTTCTTCATCTTTACATTAAAATGGGGTTAAAAGTAGTTCCTGCCTTCTATGATTGGGCATGTACACAGTAGTGTGCAGATGGGCATATAAAGGGTATAGTGCTGTGGCAAACAGCCTGCAGGTGCTGAAACTGTTAAACACAGAGTGTCTACCCCAGAGAAATGCACACATGCCCACAGAGAAACTGGTCCACAAATGTTCACAGCAGCAGCGTTCATTTTGCCAAAAGGTGGAAGCAGTCCAAGTGTTCATCGACTGACGAATGAATAAACAAAATGTGGTCTCTCCACAATGGAATGTTGTTCAGCCACAATAAGGAATGACGTATTGACACATGCTACAACATGAATGACCCGTGAACACAGTCTGCTGAGTGAAAGAAGGCCTGTCACGAGAGGCCATGCATTGTATGATTCTATTTCCATGAAATGTCCAGAATAGGCAAATTCATAGAGACAGAAAGTAGGTTAGTGGCTGCCAGGAGCTAGGGAGGGGGATGGGGAGTGACTGAAACGGGTTTTCTTTTTGGAGCAATGAACTGTTCTAAGATTGTGGAATGGTGCACATATATGTGACTCTAATAAAATACACTGAATTGTACACCTTATGTGGGTGAACTATATGAGACATAAATTATCTCAATAAAGCTGTTAAAATTTAGTTTGGGTTGTAAGTTGCCCATAAGGAGCCAAGAGATGTCATGGGAGAGGCTTGTGCAGGGTTGGGGCGAACAGGATGCAATCAAGGCAGAATTCCAACTTGCTGCCATAAGCCAGGGACCTGGGCCCCTCAGCCGCTGCCCTAGCAACATTCAGGGATGTTTCTTCTTTGTGATGGGAGCTGGCCTGTACATTACATGTTTAGCATATCCCTGACCTCTGCCCACCAGACACAGCCATCTCCTCTCCAGACATTGCCAATGTCCCCCAGGGACGAAATCATCCCCTTGACAAACTCTCTATCTCCTCCCTGTACTCTGCTGACCCAGCTGCCTCCCTGTGTATCTGCAAAGGCCTGGCTCCCCAGACCACCACCACCCCTGCTCCAAAGCCCTCCTGGACTCTCAGCCAGAAGCCCTGCCCATCTTGCGGGCCCCACAGCTTCGTCCACCTCTTGCACTATTCTCTTGGCTCATGCTATGGTTTCTCCTGGTCACATGTGTGTGCTCAACTGAATGGAACATGCTTTATAGACAAGATTCCAAGATCCCACGCAAGTACACACAAAACAGTCATACTGGGTTAGCAAAATGAAATAGGACATCCCTCCCCAAAACAAAGGAAAAAAGGAATGCAACAGAGAGGGGAAGAGAGTCAGCGATATACAGCAAGTACTACTGACAAATGCTTACTATTCACAAAGATTACACTTAAAATCTACAGCAAATGGACACAGACATAGTCCTCTCATTGTAAGTGATCCAAGTAAGTGACAGAAAGCTGACACCAAAAGAAACAGAGATACCATACAGGGAGAAAGAGAAGGCCTGGCAAAGCCTCGTACCAGAGAAGAAAGTGAGCAAGCTGCATGCTGGGATGAAGGGAGAGAAAGCTGCACCAGCACAGCCACCACCAGGGCCAGCCCCACAGTGGCTACACGAGGAGTGGATGGGGAGTGGACAGGCTCTCCAGCCTCTCTCCTGTTAGTGAGACTGCAGCGAGTGCAGCGCTCCCCACGAGTGTGCCTAGGGGAGCTACACAAGCCAAGTCACACCCAGGCTCTCCACACCCCAGCTGGGGACTTGGGCACCTCTATGCCAGAAAAGTTTCTCCAATTCCTGCTTTCTCCTTGCTAACCGGCAAGCAAGCAGTCTGCAAGAGGTGTGCAAACATGTGCCACCTGATTCAACGCGGTCACCCAGCTGGCTCCTCAGGTGGAGTGGAAGCTGAGGGGAAGGTCTAACTCCCACCAACTCTCCCAGGCCTGCCAGTCAAGATCAACAAACCTAGAAGGTGCTCCAGGCAGTGGGAAGAGAGGGCCAAGAAGCTTCCATGTGCCTGGGCAGAGAGACAGTGACATGCCCAACTAAAGACTGAAGCAGAGAGCCTGGCTGGATGCCTCATAGCATTAGGGTCCCCCAGAGGCACACACGAGACTTCTGTTCCCTTGGCAGTGCCCATGTGAGTCCTCAGGGTCCTTCACCACCTGGCCCAGGCAAGGTGTACTAGGAGTTCTGCCTTGCACCACTGCCAAACCCAGAACACAGAGGCACACCCATGTCAAATGCTGGCCTGGCCATACCATGCCGTGGGTGACAATGGCACCATCTCTGCTGATGCTGTAGGACACAAACACTGTGCTTTCATGCCCACACCACTGGGCGTAGGCAGCCAGGCTCATCTGGCCTGCCACGTAGCACCTCCATCCAGCACACGCCCAATTGCCAAGGGCTCAAACAGGCTGACTGGTCGCCATGGGGTTTAGTTTTCCCTCAAGTAAGCACCTTCTCCCAGTGAGCCTGTCTGATGTCAGCCCAAAGGAGTACAGGGGACAAACTCTGCTGTGTGTGGCCGAGCAGCCCAGATGAAGGAGGTGGGAGCACAGGCCTGCAGCTGACCACCAGGGTCCCATCTCAGCTCCCCTTCTGTGGGATCCCCACACCTCAGATGGCTCATCAGCAAGCAGGGTGTGACAACTGCCTGCTTCAAGGAGCCACTCCGCAGGGGGTCGGCTGCCGTCTCTCCTGTCCCCACCAGACCTCAACCCCAGGACACTCTCATCTCTGCCTTGACGGCCTAGGGTAGCCCCTTCACCCTACTCCTTCTTGGGGCAAATATGAAGAAAGATCTTGGTGTGTGTATGAGACCTGGCTCTGACCCCAGGCCTCCTGTGGCTCTCTGGGCCTCTGATTCCCCATCTGGGAAATGGAGCCACATCCCCACTAAGGCCCCATCCAGGTCAGTCCTCAGAAGCTCCCCTACCTGCCAGGGGCCGGGGCAGGAAAGATGCTCTCACTAGCAGGAGAGAAGCTGGAGGACCTGCCCACATGTGGGGCCCACACATACACAGCGATTAGAGTCAAGATCTGAAAAGCACCTCTCCTCTACCAGCCAGGACACCTTAGGCACATGGTGGAACCTTGCAAACCTCTGTTTCTTCACATCTGACAAGACACCAGTAGGGTCACCAGAAGGACCAGGTCTGAGGCAATCAGAACTGTCCAACACATGCCAAGTATGTTTGTTACTGTAAAGCTTCACAGGTCCTCATGGTGTGTTGGGGCGTGGAGGTGGACAGACAACCAGTTGACACAAGGGAGGAAAAAGGGGAAGGGCTGTTGAGGGTAGCAGGGTGGTGGGTCAAAGGATACAATGAAGGTTGTTTTATCGTCAAATGTACCCTTTCTGACCCATGAGATGTGAGCCTTGGGCAGTGATTGGGCAAAGCCATGTTGGGGGGTAGGGGAGCATGGAGGAGCTTGGCACAGTGGCTCAGAACAGCAGGCAGCAGAAGACAAGAGTTGTTCACAGCTGGGACTGGTGCTGGTGAGACAAGGTCAGTCCTAGAGATGCTCCACCCCAACCAGGTACCCAAGGTGAGGACCTGGGATGGTTTCTACAGCTCTGCAGCAAGCCAGGGCAGGGACACCGGCATGGGGGACACAGCATGCCCAGGGACCCAGGCAGGGACCCTCAGGAGAGAGAGGGAAGGCTGAGGGGTGTGCAGGGAGTGTCAGGATTTCCTCCTGAAGCACAAACAGAACCACAGAAACCCTCTCTTCCCCACAAGACCTGCAGCATCTTTAACTTGCTGTGCTCATTTCCAGTCTCACCTGAAGCCAGCAGGGCCACCCAGCCCTCTTTGGCCTCTGCCACCAGAGATAGGTCTCTTGGAAGAGACAAGGAGTGGAATGTGCTGAGCTAGGGAGAAAGCACCTGCACACGCTTTTCAGGAATAGAGGGGCCAGACAGATGGCAGCTGGGGCAGCCAAGGATACATCTCTCCAGCCACACAGCCCCTCCTCCCACTGACCAGAGGGCTCCTTGTGGGAGGAAATGAGATCATGTACTGCCACTTCAGAATCTGAGACTCGCCACCCTGACTCCAAGCCAAGCTCCTCCCTGGACCCCTACGGCCTCAGCGATCTCTGACCTCTCATTCCTACCGCTGCTGGCACCGAGGGCAGTATCCTTCAGTACTGACATGCTAAGCCAACAGCAGCAGCCCTAATCACTGCACACCCTCAGGGCCTATGCCCTGCTGACCTCCAGTAAGATTATCTGCTGCAGAGGGTGGGGCTCCTGTGGCAGGAACAAGGGTCCACAAGTGCTCCGACAATGTGGGGTGAAGGAGCTGTGGGGCATCCTCTACAAGGGGCTTCAGAGACTGTCGGTTTACAGATGGGGAAACAGAGGCCAGGGCTAAAGATAAGGCCTAGGCCAGGCCCCAAGTCTCAGTGAAAGGCAAAGTCAGTATCAGCCCATTCCCAACCGACTGGTGCTCCACTCCTCCAGCCATTCCCAATGAGAGCTTGGGGCTGACCCTCAAAGGCCACGGCCAGGAGGACTACAGCTCACTTGCCAACTTCCAGCTCCACTTGCAGAACCCAGGGACCATCCCACCTCCATCTTGGTGATGGGGCCTCACCCTTCCTCAGAGGGCATTGGCCCCTCTTGCCCCCATGACAGGCATCTCAGCCCCACTTTTGTCCCCACAGCCCACTCCCCCGTGTAACCACCAAACCCAAGCTGGACCCTGCCTCCTTCAGGGCCCCACCCAGGCCTGCGGGACTCTCCCGACACTCCTCCTGCCCTTGGCTCAGCCCCACAGTGAACAGGCCCCTGCCCCAGGGACAGGCACGGGGTACGGCTCTCCCCTGATATCTACCACATGCCTTCCAGGAGAATGAGGCTTTCCTCATGCTGTGTCCTCAGGTTCACAGACACCGAGGCCCCAGCAGGGCTCAATTAAAATACGTGCCAGTCAGTGAGGAAAGACACTCAGGTGCTCACTCAACCTTCCCTGAGCCTCCTGTTCAAGCCAGCGATCCTCCCACCTGCCCCAGTGGAAGACTCTCCTCCTCCTGGTGGCTCAAACTGCACAGGCTCCACGCCCCACAGCAAACTTCCCAAATCCTGCTTTAGCCATATCGTTCCCCTGGGCTCCCCAATCCTCCCCGACTCCAGGGCCTAAGTGTCAGGGCCATGAGCAGCTGGTCCTGTGGCCTTTGTGCCTGTCAGGGCCCAAGAGCCAAGCTGGTTCCTCTGACTTCATGTTCAGAAGCTCATGGACGGACACCACAGTTTCATTTCTAGATGTAGAGCCTGTGCCATGTACCCATGGCTGTCCATGGGTACCCAGGACTCCAACAGGCTCTAGTGCCAGGGACCACTCACCCAGACCCTCCCTGCAGGCACTCTGCTGTGCTCAAGGCAGGGGTGTGGCAGCTGGGGCTACTGGCGGTGGTCTCCACCCCTAATTCTCAGACACGCACATCCTACCTCGAGTCTCCATGGAATATTTGGGGTTTGTGTTCTTATTACAGTCGGGCATAATGCAGGCCCTGAATGACACAAAACATTCCCAGGGCAGGGGGGAGTCCAATGACGAGGAGTGCGCCATGGGCATCAGCCCTTAGCCTCCACGAGTGGCTAACCGCACCCCTCCCTGACTGACCACCTCTCTGCTCTGGACTTGCTCATGGGACTTGCTTCACTAGTGACATGGAAGCAAGCCAGATGCAGCGGAACTCATGGGTCCATCTCTCTCCCTTCTGCCACATGGGCAGTGGAGGATGAGACAAGGAAAGCAAGACAGCCCAGCCAGCTGCAGCATCCCCAGAGGCCAGCCCAGCCCAGCCACCCACCAGGCACACCTGCTATGTGACCCTGGTGGCACTATTGCAGCCACAGAGTAGGCCCCTCCTCACCCCCTCACCTCCTTCAGCTCCTGGGCCACGGAGGCCAGGCGTTCATTCTCCGACTGCGTGTTGGTGAGGACGTTGCGCAACTGCTTCAGCTCCGTCTGCAGCTCTAGCACCTTCCGCACGTAGTACTGCTCCTTGGAGGCCGACTCCTGGATCAGGCTCTCCTCCCGGCTCTCTCCGTCAGCAGCCACCTTCTTGTGATTCGTGTGTGCTTGTCCAAAGGCCTGCATCAGGAGACAAAACACTTGTCAGGTGGGCCTCCCAGGGGCACTGAAGGATAGAGACTCAGCTCACAGGCGACATTCATGCTGCAGAACAACAGCCAACAACGATGGGGACTGTGGGCCTGAAGGGAGGGCCCCCGCCCTGGGAGGTGCATCTGTGACGTGCCTATGGTTTGCACACATGCAAACGCAACAAGCTGCACCCAAGATTCATTTGCTTCACCAAAATAAGAGAAAGCCTGGTCTCTGAGGAACAGTGTCTGCACTGGCAAGACAAGTACTGGAGTCAGGGAGCCGCAGCAGGCATGTGTGACAGCAGCTGGGGCCGGCGGAGGGAGCTCCCACACAGCTCCTACCTCCTCCCACCCCAGATGGCACGCCAGCCACCACATATGAAGGGCAGAGGGAGTCTGTCCATCCTGCTGCCTGATGCTGGCTCATCCTTCACGCCTGGGAGAGACCTGGGCTGAGCAGTCAGAGCCCCAGTCCCAAGGACGGCAGTGATGGTAAGAATTAGACAGAGGCCAGCACAGTGTGCCACCCACTCTGCCCAGTTCCTGGCTCAGAGGCCAACATACCAGCATGTTCCAGAGGGGTGAGGAACAAGGGGTGCGGGGGCTGCATGTGGCAAAGAAGTGTAGGGCCCTGGGGCTCAGGGAGCAGCCTTATGGGTGAGATCGACCAGAAAGGCGTGCTCGCCTAGCCCAGGGTGACCACCTGCCCACGCACCCGAGAGACGACAGCTGTGTCATGTCCATGCCCAAAAACCCAGGCCAGCCGGCCTCCCATCGTGTATACCCCAGGCGAGTGGCCCAGCCTCCAAGCAGGTGCCATCGCCCTCCTTCCCTCCCACTGCCCACTACCCCCACATAGCTGGCATGGCAGGACAGGGCTTCCATGGGTAGAGGGCAGAGGGCCCGCAGTGTGTCACCCCCAGCAGCCCCTGTCTCACTGGCCACCCCACCACAGAGTTCTTAAGGGAGACCTTATCTTTTTACGGTAATCCTGGCTCATGGCAGAAAACAAGATCAAGAGAGATGCAACTGAAAGTGGATGACTTTGTTTCCCTAAGAGAGAAAAAGGAGCATTTTTCACTCATTTACTATTTAATATTAAATCTAAGAATTCAGTCCAAGAAAATAGGGAAAATGTACAAAACCATGAATAAGGATGTTACTAAGCAGGACAGTTTCTAATTTCAAGAAATCAAAGCAAAGAGTAACTCATTTCCTCCCACCAGGAGACTGGCAAAAGAAACCAGGGTCTAGTCTGAGTCCAGAGTCTCATGGGACCAATAGGAGCATCAAGGGGAAGACAGACTGATCTCACAGCACTGTGAGGATCACAGGATCCTGCCTGGAAGAGCACACATGTGCTGTGGCAGGTGTGGTGACACGTGCTATAAGGTATGTGTTGTGTGTGTGTGTCTCGTGGTGTTGTGGGGGACACCCCTAAACAAGGCTAACAGGACAACACAGCCCAGCAGGAAGACTGGTGCTGGCACTGGGACTCCACGTGGGGACTCCGGACTGTCATGGACACCCCTGCTGTGGATGTACAGACGTCCATGGCACCCACACTTCTGCGGAGGCTGGGTCTTGCTCACCTGCCCCACCCATCAACATACCACCACTCTGTGGAAGATGTCCGTTCTTCCACAAGGCAGTCGGGTCAGCGCAGTGATTTCTGCTCTGTTCTTATCCTAGTCCCAAGGAAGGACCAAATCATGATGTCTACACAGCACCTGATCCACCCTGCCCAGCCCCAGGCCACAAGAATGGAAACCAGACATGGAACTGGCCCCAACTGTGGGCTCCCCACCCAAGTGGCAGCCAGGCCCCAAGTCCCTCACTGAGTGAGGGGTCCACAGGCTGCAGGCGGCATGGGCAGCACCAGACCATCTGGGCCTTCTGACAAGCAGGCGGGACCCAACTGAAGGGTCCAGCACACATGGCTGCTCAGAATACGCCCACAAGCCTGGAGCTGGGGATGCACACATCACCTCAGAAGCTTTCTCCAGGTATGACAGCTAAATGCCATGACACGACATTCAAGTCTGGGCCTCCTGGCCTGAGCCCTGGATCTTTTCCTTTGCTTAAGCTCCCAGCCCGGGGCCCACGAACACTCCTGGGCAGCTTTTCAAACACACTGAGATAGAGACTTCCGCCTACAGCCAAGACAAGATTGTTGCAGAAATTAGGACTACCTTCTCTGTGAAAACTTAAAAAAAAAAAAAAAAAAACCAGACAATGACAGAACATAAATAAATAATAAGCAGTGGTTTTCACGTCATGGGCACTAGATAGTGAGGGACAGATCAGGGGAGTTCCAGGAGCCCCCTCCAGCAAGAGAACTTCCCAGCCATGGAAAAATGGGAGACTGAGTCAAGGCGTGGCAGACCCTGTCAAGGAGGGACTGGAAGATGGCAGCAGGGCAGCCAAGCTAGGCAGACCTGCACACAGAGGGCCAGAATCTCCACTGAGGACCAGGCAGCACAGAGCTGAGGAAGTCACTGAAGGACCACTGAGAAGGGCAGAGAAAGCAATCCCCACCATTTACACCAGCCAAAAACAGCACCTGCTCCCACCAGCCACAGGAGAGCCCTCCTGATGCACAGGCAGCAGGGGAGCACTCCCAGGGCCTGACAAAATTCGTCTGGATTAAATCTGCTCTGATACCACAGAGTAAAGCTTAAAGACAAAACCTGAAAGGACCGATCTGATTCCAAGTCACTTAACTACATCCCAGAACAAAGCTCAAGAACACATGAAGGAATACAAAAACATCCATCTCCCAACAGGTGAGGTCCACTGCCCGGCATTCCATCACTAACCACTTTAGGCAAAGGTGTACGAATGAGGAAGACAGAAAAAGATCCAGACAGAACTTCTAGCGACGAAAAGTACAGCAGATGGGATTCACAGCAGATAAAACAACGCAGAAGAAAAGATTAGTCAACTTGAAAAACCACAGCAAACTATCCAAAATGAAACACAGAGAAAAAAGGCTAAAAGACAAAAGCAAAACTCGAACAGAGCATTGGTGAAGTATGACACAATTTCAGGAAGTCTTACATAAGGACTAATTGGAGTCCCCAAAGGAGAAAAACAGGAAAATAAAAAATTGAAGAAATCAGAGCTGAAAATTTTCCAAATTTGATGAAAATTATAAACCCACAGACATCAGCAGCTTGTCAACCCAAGCACAAGAAATATGAAGAAAACTACACCAAGGCCATAACATAAAATTGTTTAAAACCAATTTTACAATAAAAATATTAAAATCAGCCAGAAGAAAAAGGATACATGACTCAAGAGGAGCAAAGTTAAATGACAGCTGATTTCTCTAACAAGCCAGGAGACAGTGGAACAACATCTTTTAAACGGCAAAACAAAAAAACTTAACTAGAATGATACACTCACTGAAAACTGTTCACAAATAGAGGTGAAATACTGCAGACGTACAAAAGCTGAAAGAATTTATCAACAGCAGATCTGCATTGGTATTTAAAGATACGTTAAATAAAATCCTTCAGGCAGAAGAAAAATAACACCATATGGAATCTATATCTACATGGAAGAAATGGTAATTAAATAGGCAAACGTAAAATACTTATTTTTATTATTTAAATCTCTTTAAAAGATAATTAACTTGAAATTCAATACAATCCCTACCAAAATTCCAAAAGCCTTTTTAGCAGAAACGGAAAAGCTGATTTTCAAATTCATATGGAATTGCAAAGGGCCTAGAGGAGCTAAAACAACATTGAAAGAGAATAACAAAGTGAGAAAACTCACAATTTCAAAACTTAATACAAAGCTACAGTGATCAAAACAATGTGGTACTGGTGTAAAGATATAGAGACCAACGGGATAGAATAGAGTCCAGAAATAAACCCTTATATATATGGTCAATTGATTTTTGGCAAGGGTACAAAAATAATTTGATGTTAAAGAATAGTTTTTCGGCCAGGCGTGGTGGCTCACGCTTGTAATCCCAGCACTTTGGGAGGCCGAGGCAGGCGGATCACTAGGTCAGGAGTTTGAGACCAGCCTGGCCAACACAGCGAGACCCCGTCTCTACTAAAAATAAAAAAAAATTAGCTGGGCGTGGTAGCGGGTGCCTGTAATCCCAGCTTCTTGGGAAGCTGAGGCAGGAGAATGGTTTGAACTTGGGAGGCAGAGGTTGCAGTGAGCTGAGATCACCCCACTGTACTCCAAGCTGGGCGACAGAGGGAAAAAAAAAAAAGGTTTTCAACAAATGATGCTGGGGGCAAGTAGCTATATATATGCAAAATAATGAAGCTGAACCCCTACCTCACATTATACACAAAAATTAACTCAAAATGAATCAAATACCTAAATATAAGAACTAAAACTGTAAAACTTTCAGAAGATAATGTAGGGATTAATCTTCATGACCTGGGATTTGGCCATGAATTCTTAGATATGACACCAAAAACGTTAACTAACAACATCAAAAAATTAGTCACTTGAACTTCATCAGAATTAAAAACCTCATACATCAAAGGACATAATCAAGTGAAAAGACAACCTACACCATAAAAGAAATGTTTTCAGATTACCTATCTGATAAGGATATGGTATCCAGATCATATAAAAAAACTTTTACAACTCAATAAAAAGATAAACAACTGGCTGGGCGCAGTGGCTCACGCCTATAATCCCTGCACTTTGTGAGGCTGAGACAGGTAGATCACCTGAGGTCAGGAGTTCAAGACCAGTCTGGCCAACATGATAAAACCCCATCTCTACTAAAAATACAAAAAAATCCGCTGGGTGTGATAATCCTGTAATCCCAGCTACTCAGGAGGCTGAGGCAGGACATCCACTATGGAGGCTGCAGTGAGCCGAGATCATGCCACTGCACTCCAGCCCGGGCAACAACAGCAAAACTCTGTCTCAAAAAAAAAAAAAAAAAAGACACACAACCTAATTTAAAAATGAATAGGCCAGGCACAGTGGCTCATGCCTGTAATCCCAGCA